ATTGAGGTGATATTATCGTTGAGGTGATAGGCCCGTGCGGAGCACGGGCAATTTCATTGAAATTCTGCTACAGCAGCCGTTGGGCCCGAGTATATAAGAAGAGCTTTCATTCTACTCTCACATGAAATGTTATCAACCTACGGATTACTCAAAGACGAAATTAAATATCACTGTAAGTACTCCTTAGCTATAAAAAGTATTATTCACTTAATCATTGACAATAACAGACTATTGCAGTACTTTATTTATCCTCGACCAATTCTTAAATCTGTTTCAAAATAGATATATCAGAACGAAATTTTCAATCGCGTTTGGTATCCTCCTCGCAGTTACAGGGGCCCAGGCAAAATACTGCATTAGTGGTTGCAGAAAGTGCGACTATTACCCAGGTAAAGGATTTTGAGAATGCTACATTGGTGGATACTCCGGACTTGGGGGTTGCGAATGTCATGCCAAGTTCATTCTGGGAACACTGGTCAACCCGGAAACTTCAAACGGACCACAGGGAAGCAGCAACTGCATGAAGGCTTGTCCTGGTTCTGGTACTCAGAGGTGCAAGGATGTGAGTTGGTAGGGGAAGGGACGGCTGAGGGTCCATATATGGGCTTTTTTCTTCCTGTACACGTAGGGCTTAGTCTTCCCGTATGCCTGACAACTAGAGATTTACACCTAGGATAAATGAGCGGTTACAAAGACTAGGAAGTGGCAGATTAGAGTCCGGCAGCCCAATTTGACTTTAGTAAGAACTTCTAATAGTTACCTCTGTATAGAAATTTGTAATGTGCTCTTCTTTTTATGAAAATAACAATTAAAATAAAGAAGGTCAAATTTCCTTAGGGTGTGCGCTAGACTTTGATTTTGGTGAGGATTGTTCTTGGTGTGGGTATTTCCGTAAGGATGGATGGCCAGTGCAATGCATGGGCAATTTCTTGAAATTTTGCGAAGTAACTAACCATTGGGGCCGCGTATGTTTAGTGCTGACTTATCTAATATCCGTTGCGGAGGGATAAACCTTCGCAGAGATGTAACACTGGCTAGAAAGAAAATCCTAAATAATTATCAGCCGGAGGACGGCCGATACGAGCACAATGCTGAGGCATTATTTCTTATTAGAACGACGGTATCAGCTTCTCCGGGCAGCGTAAACAGCGGCGGGCAAGGTCGTATTATAATAGCGAGGCTGAGTATCTAGCCGTAGAGGCTTATAGAAAACTATAGGTATGCGCCACAGCCATTCTCAGCAACTAACTCCTATAGAAATAGCGTCGAATTTGTTACGAGAGCATCTAAGTATGCTACTGCAAGTTGCTCACATGCTAAATGATGTTAATAGTATACATTCTGTAGGATGCGATTTAACAATCTTGTCGTCTACGCGGAGGGACTGCCCAGATGTGTACTTATTGCTCTTAGTCGACTTTTTGAGGGTGTAGTCTTAATATTTACTATCGTAGCTTTCTTTCTAGCCCACATGCAAATACTAGTCAATCCGAGACCTCATAGGAGATACCAGCATTGCCACAGTGCTAAGCGTGGATTAGTAGCAAAGGAAAGACATTTAGGAATAAGCTAAAGCTCTAAATTTAATTTTCTAGAAGCAGAGCTACAAGTGCTAGGATTTCCCTAGTACACCCACGCTACGGAAGCCCTCCACGAGGTAGGAGCGCTTACTAACGCTACCACTTCGTACAGCCGTACAGTCTCACCTTTATACAACGACGAACCAGCGTCTATTTCTAGTATAAGACCCTTAAGTTTACGGCTGCGCTGCCCCTTATTTACGGCAGCTTCTTCTTTTACAGTACACCTTACCTTCGCGTCTTCAAGGTCCTCAAAGCTCACTAACTTTCTTTTGGCAAATTATTTTAATTCCTATATATGCCTATGTACAGAAAATCTCATGACGAAGCAACTCCACCTGTAAATGACCTCCAAAAACATGTCCTTCGCTATACAGCTATCAAGTTCTTGTCTAGCAGTAATCGCGAATGTTGTAACTGTTATATATATGGCTTGTTCTGCAAGCGGGGCTTGCACCCTTGACATAAAGGGCGGTTTCTGGTCATGTGTCAGCTTATCTCGCTAGCAAACGAGTCCAATGCGGCAGCTTACTGTCAACGGGAAGATTAGCGGATGGTTGGCGAACAATGGTCTGGCTCCGATCTGCTGGCGTAAGATCGTTTTCACATTGTATCTGGTTTTGACCGCCATTGACTGTAGTGCTGCCAGTCCATACGTCGATATGGTTGATCTTTGGGTTCGCCTTCCAGTCGGTGGTGCACTGGGCGCAGTAATCTTCGAAGCGCAGGTACTTGCGCAGATATGGGTCGTAGATGACCTCGCACTGGGTGAACTCGCCAGGCGCAGAGGCAAAAGTCAATGGATCGGTATAGGTGCCGGTGCCACCAGCCTTGAAGCCACGGCCACAATCGTAAGCAGTCGCTGGGCCTGGTGGGTTGTTAGCATCGGCCACCAACCCTGGTTTTGGTGACAAGGTTGTATCTTAACTTACCTGCTGGGTCGTTATCTGGGTATCCATAAAAGGTATGGGTGACCTTGGTCACTGTGCTGCAGCCCATAACGGTAAGGCTCAGGCTAGAAAGAGCGACAACGATTGAGGTACGCATTTTGAAAGCTAATGTTACGGATGGGATTTGAGTACTGATTCGGGTTGCTTGCTGCGATGAGCTGTTTGAATTAAGCCGGCCGGAGGCATCTTATACTCTTCATCAGTTGTGCCAGTGGAGAAATCTTTACAAGGTTCTATATACAGCCTCAGCCTCGTCCGACCCCAATTCTACCAATCTGAGGAACATTGCTTGACCAAGAGTTCCATTTCCAGCAATAAACCAGATTGATGAGGGCCAAAAGACAGAAATAGAGCAACCCGTAGTCGTCTGGCTACACACCAATGGTTAATCGGATGCCGAGATTGCTTAGCGGTTCTTGATCCTGTACCCATGCTGGCAGCTAACCCACAGCGACAAGGATTCTTCTCCTTTTGGAACGCCACGATCTGCTTACGAAGCCAACTAGAAGTGACATAATCTATAGTATCTAGCCACTAGAGGAAAATGGCCAACTAAGTTCGCACTAGTAAGCCGAAGGAGCGTCCCGCCCCGAAACGGCCACCAAAAACGCCAATGCGATTGTGGTGTCATGGCGTGAATGGCGGTCATGTTCATGCACTGAAAGAATTAACAAGCACCAAATAGAGTGAAGATGTTCATACTGGGGTCCGGATTGGCGCGCCCCGACTTTACCCGCCGGGCTGGTATCTCTACCCCTACGCACTGCACGTAGGCCTGAGTGGATCTCGCCCACGATAGGCAACCAGCAAGGATTTCTTGATCGGCGAGGCTGAATTCTTTTCAGCGACTCATACTTCATTGAACAGATGATTCCAGGGATACAACCAGTTCTTTTAGTCAGCTGCATGAGCTGCAGTTACGAGAAGAAAGCTCAACCCTTCGCTCTCGCTTCTGCCATTCTCCCGCTCTTCGGACTATACTCGCGAGCGGCCTAAGGACTCAGCAAGCCTCCTCGGCCCCGCTACAATGGTTCAACTCGGCTCCCATGCGTGGACGGTTCGCAGCCTTGTCCTGCTCGCTACATTGTTCCATGTGGTGTCCAGCTCGATCATTGCCACATTCACGGACGACCAATGCAAAAATGCATTTCAAAGCTTCACTGTCGAAAACGGGTACCCCAATGGTACCTGTTCCAGATTGGCCGACAATGGCAAATACGGGAGTTTTCAGGTAGGCGCGAGAGCGAGACAACTGCCTGTAGGATAAAAACTAACGTCACTAGGTTGTCGGCCTCGATCCAGGCTGTAGTGGTAAGTGAGCGGTTTTCCGAGATGAATACATGGAGGCACTGACTCTATCAGCAACAATCTATGGTGCCGATGCTGAGGAGTTTGTGCCTTGCTCGTCAACAGCTCTTCAATTCGCACAGATAGCATCCTGTTACAATGCTTCATGGGTTTACTACAGCGTCGACATGTGCACTCCGCCCAACCCAACTATTAACCCCTCGCGTCCAACGGGGGCTTCTAATGAGCCAAATAATTCTAACAAGAATAATACGGGCGCCATAGTTGGTGGCGTCGTTGGCGGCGTAGGCGGTCTTGCTCTTATCGGCCTCACCTTCTTCGTGGTCTATCGTCGTCGCCGTAATAAGAAACACGCTCTTGCACAACCACCTACTGTGCCGTCGCCGCCTCCCGAAGCTGCCGGAGATAATATCAACGAATTACCACAAGACGCCGTAAAGCCGGAGATTTATACATCAGAAGCTAAGCCGCATGAGATTGGGAGAAACAGTCTGTATATTCCACCCGAGCAGCCGCCTGTGGAGCTCGAAGGGAGCGCAGCTGTTCGGGATGAGAAACACGGTATCTAGGCTACCGTAGGAGGATGCTTATAGCATAATATATATCAGGGATACATGTCGGAAAAACGAGCAACCTATAACTAACAAACGAACTCTACCTTTTCTTGCCCTTTGCATTACTTATATAACGTGTGGGAAAGACTTATGAAGTTACTTCCTTTTATCTATGCTACAAGTGTGGGCGAGGTATAATTTTTTTTGAAGAGGGATCACTTGATGTTAGCGATATCCTAAACCTGACAGTGGACAGAATAATCTCTTCACCCCCTCTTTTGCATGCTGTGTGGGGGCGGTAAACTTAAAGAAATAGCTAGGGGCTGCATTAGCGAGATGATCGAATATTCTTGTGCGCAGTGGTAAGTATGTGAATATTTGGGTGCAGAGCTAGTTTCTTGCAATCATACATAAGAAGTAAGATGACTCTTCTTCATAAGAAAACAGTCCAAGATTAGGCTGCTGACGCATTGCGATGGGAATCAAAAGATATGTATTATTGGCAAAGTATCCGGTCACTACCGAATCCCTGCTGTCGTATGTTTTTGGTTTCGTTTTTGCAACTCTCATTTTTTGTCCGAGTTGTATATTGGCAAAGTCTTGGCAAAATTTCTATAAGAGATGGACTAAAAATAACTTCAACATGGAGATTTTCTGTCTCTGAACAGACCTTTAGAAAATTCAACACGGCTGATATACAATAGAAAAAGACAGAACATATATACCAAATATCTTTTTGTGTAAAAGGTTGACAACCCATAAGAATCGTGAAAGACGAAGTCCAGACATCACGTGCGCAGGCGATAAGGCTGACCCGGGTTACGCGTCATTGCAGCCGCAACCAGGGCCGTGGTCCAACACCGCCTCTACCCACGACATGGTCACGTTTCTTCGGCTTCTCTTCACCCCGCCCGCCCTATTAATCGCCTAGGTACATGTAATGTTTATTTGGCCTTTGCTGGCCCTACTGCACCAGCCTGCCCCGTGTCACCGCATGTCTGGCAACCACCATTTGCTGTGGCGTTGAACGCTCCTAACCTTCATGTCTACCGTCTTCTCTTCCTTCGTGCGGCCGCAAAAGTCCCGCCAATCCTCAGCCAACTCGGGCACAGTGCTTGCCGGCCCTCCTCCAATCGACAGCCATGGCATCGACGAGCCTGACCTTCGTGACCTCAATACCGCCCTCCAGGCACTCACGGACATATTCCCCGACATCCAGCCTGAGGTCTTTCGAGAGATGCTTTCTACTTTTAGCCCAGAGAGCAGGCTACAAGTAATAACCGAGACACTTCTCAAGCATGGCAACAAGTACGTACGAGGAAGATACCGGATGCCAGCCGAGCACGAAGAACAGCGAGAGACGGCGCAAAAGTACAGGTACCGCAAGGAAGATGCACCGAAGGACACGCGCGGTGTACCACTTGCACTCGAGGATAGGTTCCGGTCGCGCCGGTACAAGGAAGCTGCCAAGGAGGCTCTCTATCAAGAGTTCAAAGGGTTGAGCCATTCCACAATCAAAGCGGTTTTGGCCGAATACAATTGGAGCTACACATATGCGCGGCCGACACTGCTGGTGCTCTCAAGTAAGAGTTGGAGATCAAGCATCACAAATTTCCTCATGCGACGCAAAGCACCCACTGCAAACGACCACCCTCTAGTTATATGGACGCCTGCCGACTCGAGACTGAACCGCCCGCCCATGCCGCTGCTGGTGAAGACTAGGAGCGACGAGCTAAACGAGGAACTCTACAATGCCCTCATTCTGCCCGAACACGAAAGGTTTCGGGACGCGCAGCTACGACGAGATTTTGAGTTGGCTATGAAGTGGAATGAAGAGGAGGCCGAGGAGCAAGGCGAAATGTACGACTGCGAATGCTGCTTTATACCAAACACTCTACAGCAAATGTCGACCTGCGATATCGAAGGCCACTACATATGCTTCCGTTGCATACGACACGCCATCAATGCAGCTCTCTACGACCAGGGATGGGCACGCAATATCAATACTGAGTACTGTACTTTGAAGTGCATAGCGCCAATGACTGGAGGGTCTGACGAGTGCAAAGGCTGCATTCCGCTTAGTTTTGTCCGCCGGGCCCTGGAAGAGGAACAAGACGGAAAGGACAACTTTGCCAAACTCAATGAGCGTTTCGCCGCCGACGCACTAACAAGGTCGCAGCTACCCCTAGTCCAATGCCCCTTCTGTCCCTACGCCGAATTGGACGATCTCGCTCTTCCAAACACAAGTCTCTTTTCCAACCTACGCTTCAAGCCTCGACCCATGATAGTAGCCTCCATAGCTTCTCTCCCCCTGCTTGAACTCCTATGCTTCAAAGCCACACAAGTCATTCTCTTCACCCTCCTCCTGTTATACGCCATAGCCGCAATCACCTTCCGCCTCCCCGTCATCGCTCCCTTCCAGTCAGCCCTCCGCCGCATCCACCTCAAGCGCCGGGGTCTCCGCTTCCAATGCCTCTCACCCACGTGCCAACGCGCCTCGTGCCTCTCATGCTCGCTCCCCTGGCACGACCCCCACACCTGCTTCTCCTCGCAACTCACCTCGCTCCGTCTCACCCTCGAACGCGCCACTACAGATGCGGTAAAACGCACCTGCCCCCAATGCAACCTCGGCTTCGTCAAGTCAGAAGGCTGCAACAAGCTCGTCTGCCTCTGCGGCTATAGCATGTGCTATGTTTGTCGCCAGGGGCTCGCTAACGAGGGCTATCAGCACTTTTGTGGCCATTTTCGGGATAGACCGGGTCAGCCGTGTGGGGAGTGTAACAAGTGCGACTTGTATCGTGTGGAGGATGAGGAGAGGGTTGTTAAGAGAGCGAAGGAGAGGGCCGAGGCGGAGTGGTGGGAGAAGCAAGGGGAGGGTGCGAAGGAGGGGTTGCAGAATGAACTTGGTAAGGACCAGAGTGTGCAGGGTAAGGGGGTTTTGGGGATGAAAAGGAGTAGTTGGGAGGCTTGGATTGAGACTGTATTGGATTCTATACTCGTCTGATCTGTTTGCCCTTTTATCTTTTTCATCTCTCTTCCTTCTTTTCTTCTTTTCCTTGCTCCAGCGTTTTCTTCTCTTTTTTCCCTCTCTCTCTCTCTCTTGCCTTCTCTCTTGGAATGATCTCAATATGGAGATGTGATACCCAACGTTCCCCGAACAACCGACTCTCCTTGTAGCATGGTCTATTTTCTTTCCTTGTACAATTTGCGTATTTTCATTCCTTTTTCTTTCTCT